AGAGAGAGAGAGAGAGAGAGGAGGGGGAGAATCTTTTATTTCTATTATAATTATCATTATCATTTAGCTTCCATATGAGTTCATCACATCTATAGAGTTGAGAATCTCTGTATGCTTCTGCTCCCAACGCTGCAACTGGGGAGGGAGTTTGCAAACCTAATTCATGTTTCCATCTTGAACGCCAACGTAGGGTGCTCAGTTTATTCTCAGAGAATCTTATATTTTGCGATGGAAAACTAGTCAAAACTCCCTTAGATGGATGAACTAAGCTAGATATCACATTATTCCCTAAACTAATAAGGTGGCCTTTCTATTTTCTACTGAAGTTTCACTTTTGACCAACAAATGCAAGTCCCGTTGAATTTGGTCTCTAACAGTATAATGTACCTTTAAATACACCCTAAAGGCAATTGAGCAATTCATCAAACCAAATTATTCAGCTTCCAAGAGAAGAAAAGGAACATTAGGAAGGATGATATTGAGAACATAGTATTAGAAAGAAAGAAAAATCAAGACAATATATTATGACAGTATTGTGTGATTTCATGATATTAAGAATATCATGATTATCATTATCCTCTTAATCATATGAATTATAAAATATGTTTTCAAGATTCTCAACCATAAAAATTATGTTGACATTTTATCATAATTCTCTCAAATCATAGGAACCATGATAATAATCTTATTGTGATTTCCTTGATCGTGAAATGATTTGAATGAATATTTCACGTTTATTATTGATTAAGAAAATTATATAATTATCCTATTTTGTAATCTCTGGGTGAATAAATTCATACACATTGTCCTCGAAAATTCTATCTAATCATTTCTTTGGAGAGGAAGCAAACCTGAAACAGCATGTCAAACTTTTGTCAACAATATTGATTCTGTTTATTCAGGTCACCATCCCAAGTTTTGGAGTTGCTCTTTGTCAGGCATTATAGACAAAATCAAATACTCATTCCTGATTAGTTGAACCGACCAAATGAGAAATCACATCCTCGAGGCACAAGATATGTGATGATAATGTGTCTTTCAAATCTGTGGCATCAGATTGAGCTAGAGCATCGTTCATTACCTTCACACCGCTCTGCAGTAATTCCATTCCTTCACAAATTCTGTCCAGAAGCTTCCTCTTCCTATTCTTGACAGAGTTTTTGTCATCGTTCACAAGTTGCTTAGAACCAGAAACTTTTGAATTATTACATACTCCTTTGACTAGTTTTCTCAGCACAATCCCTTCTTGTAAGAGATATAACTGCTCTTTGGATGGAGTCACATCACACAATGCTACTTCCTTTTCAAGAACACATTTTAACTCCGACATAAATCGGTCTTCATTGGCCTCAGTTCCTGTGTTGGTATCAAATGAGAGAGTTGCATCATGAGGAACAAATCTCCAAAGCTGAGTACAAGATGTACGGGCAGCAAAATAACCAAAAGCAACTATAACTAGATGAACAATTGCCCAATGCCGTTCCCTCAGTAACATGTGATAAAGATCCCATACTGCAGTACAAAGTGTCTGCCCTTCACCTTCTGCTATTTCCATGTGACTGAGGCTAGCCATGAAATATGCAAGAGAAGGCTTGCATTGATACAACATACCATCAGCATCAGTGGGACATTGCATGAAAAGGGTATGTAGCTCCACAATTAGTTTTTCCATTTCAGCAGAACCGTAAAAATTCCTCATGTTTGAAATGATAACCAATGTTGCGCTTAGAAGTGTGGCAAAGATGTCTTTCTTACGATCAACGGCACTTTTATATCCATGAATAACGACAACTGCAAAGTTCACAACGTGTGCCATATTCTTGTCACCAGCAATATCAGAATCCTTAACCTGACTGAAGAATGTAAGAAACGGTTAGCCACAATTTTCTCAAATAGCCACATGATTCATTTGAGAAAATTGATGTCATTATGATATATTTTGAGCAATGAGTTGCTTACCGACACTGTAGAGCAGATGAGAGTGCATGCACTGGTAGTCCAACAAAACTGGAGTAACCAAATTCTGTGGACTTAAGTAGTACAAGTTCCTGTTCTTTAGCTTTGTTCTCTGTGAAATGATAAAATGAAGTAACTAATTTGCGAATAGCAAGCATTTTACTCTCATCAGGTAATGATTCCAATGGGAAACCCTCTACAAGTAGTGCTAAATACATTATCTGTGACAAATTAGGCTCATCCTCACTTTCCACAAGATTGTAAAATCTGTCAACCGCAGCAGGACACACATAAGAAAGTGAAACACATACTAGTCTTGATGTCTTTCTTAAAGTGTCGAGAGGTCTGAGATCTGGTTCTGAGGATGCTACAAATTTCAGTACTGAACAAAGTTTATCAAGAATGTAATTGGTCATATTTGTTTCCCCATGACGCAAAAGGAAGCAATACATTTCTGTAATAATTTCCAGACAAAGAAAGTGAGGATGGCAGATGTTCCGGAGTAAGAAGAATTCCACCTCCATCCAAGCTGGACCTGAAGAAGCAGCAACAATCATGAAAGTTTTCAAGGAATGCAAGATGAAATAGAACATCAGTTGCCAAGCTACTCCAGAGTTTGGTCCAACAACACAATTAACAGGTATCTCCAAACCAAGAGCCAAAGAGTAGACTTCTTCATGCATCATCATATGCAAAAGACTATCCAGCTTCCCCGAGATTCCAATAACTATTTCTTCCCTCAAAACTGGAGAAGTCTTCAGAAGATTCAAGAAAAGCATAAGTCGTCCAAGTAATACAGCTCTCGCCATTGGGACATCATCACAATTCACAAGAAATATGCTTCCCAGAGAAGTTGAACCTGAGGAGCTATCAGCATTCTCTACCACAACAGTTGATTTAGAATCATTTTCATAACTTAATAACCAATCTAAAATCAGGAGTCTTGACTCGAGATTTATATTTGCTGTATTCAGTAGTGTATGCAGTAGAAGTGATGATGTTGGTTCCAAGAACTCTGCCAGAGCTTCACTTGCAGCTCTCAGTTTGGTCTCCTTGCTAAATAAAATTCCTAAAGATGAGATCAGCAAAGCACAGCGAGTTAACTCCCTGTACACATCAATGGCTTCATATGGGTACTCGGATGAGATCCGTACAGCATTTATCAAGTAAAACTTTATTGGGAGAAAGAACCTTTTAGCTTCAGCACCAGTAAGTGTTTCCTGTAATGTCATACACCATGCTTCAGAGGCACTTCTGAGGGACTCAATGGCCAGAGAAACAAGGTTCAGAATAATATCAGCGACGTTTACTTTTTTGGTTAAAAACCCTTTACCAAGCTGCAACAAAGAAACAACACCTTTCCATGACACATTTAGTAGTGTAACCAGACTTCCTCCGCCAGCAGCTGCAAACATTCCTAGTTCATACAAATACTTTGTGGTGCATGCTGTTATGTTGACCACATGACTAGCAAGATCTACACCTACCTCAGCCATTTCTTTGTTTCTGTCAGCGTTCATCTCATAAAAGTCCCACTTAACAGCTTGACAATAAGTTCTGCATAGCTTTACCGCAGCATCCACTATGACTTGTGTCAACTTAACAACTTCTGAAGCAATTGAGGGAATTTTCTGTTTGATAAATTTTTAATGAACAAATGGAAAGGATAGATGATGCCAATAATTGGCAAGATAACTATAGTACATAGTATACATCAAAGCAACAAAGCATTAACAACAAGAAAGAAATAATACATAAGATTTTTCTGTAGATACCATGTACATTTCTTTCATATATACAGACCATATACATAAGGAATATTTAGTCTGATCTTTAGAACTTCTAAAGATGGTATGATGGAGAACCATTATAAGGGATTTCAGAAAACATTATTCTAGGCAAATAAATCAGCAAAAAATCATCAATTATTTGGCCTAGAGACTTTAAGAGATGTGAAAAATTGAAAAGTATTTGGGTCTTTCTAGGTGTTAAACCTTGAAACTCTATTTTTATATTAAGTGCACTCTTTACTTCTCAGCTATGATAAATTCCTTTAAATCTATTTAGGCAACCTAGAAGCTACATTTTGAGTTTCTAGAAGGTATATAAGTTCCCTTGGAGATTACTCTTGGAAATTATTGCCTTCATTGATTATACTAAGGCTCCTAAACCCCTATAAATAGTGGCGATTGTCAATAGATGAATCACTTCATATTTGAATGAAAAAAAAATGCATCCTCTCTTCTAGCCTCCTTCACTCCTCTCTAATCTCTAATCGCACTCCTCTCTTTCTCACCTCTCTAATCTCTAACCTCAATCCTCTCTTTCTCTCCTCTCTAATCTCTAATCTCACTCCTTTTTTCTCCTCTCTTGTTCTCTATTTCTTTACCCTATTCTACATTAGTTGATATCAAAGCTTATCAAGAAATCTGTCATGTACCTCATTTGGTCCAAACTGGCAACAAAGCTTTGACCAACACTCACAGATCTTTGCACCTCCAGTGTCAACCCCTTGTGTGTGAAGTTAGACTTTGAGGTGACTGTCCTTACGGACTTGGTTTTTATCATTTTTTTCTCCCTTGCTTTCTCTTGTTTTTCTATTTATCACCCTCTCTCTCCCCTTTAACTACAACTAGGGTTTGTTGTACCACCCAAAATGGTATGGTACGAGCAACACATATCGATCTGACAGGTGATCAACACACAGACCACCCCGTTCCAGGTGATTATACATTAGGGACCCCATATCGAAAGATACGAGGTATATACCAAGTGAAACTGTCGAAACTCGACCGTTACCGACTTATACCGATCGATAATGGTTGGATTTTGATCGAGACTGATCAAGGGCTATGATATACCTATTTCTAACGATCAATTCTTTTTTGTTGGAACCAATTCAAAAGATTTTAAAATCCTTCCCACTCCCTTTTTCAACCCCTTTCACTCTCTCCAATTCTTCAACTCTCTCAAACTCATTCTCACTCACATCTCTCTCTCATTCTTACATTTTCACTCTCTTAAATTCAACAATGCTACAATTTGTGGATTGGATCAAATTTGGGAGAATTAACACTTAAGTTAGAGTAATATCACTCTAATTAAGATGTATGTAACTATGTATTCCCTTACAGTCAACAGTAATACGATGATAGTTGATCATTCTTTTCCGAAACTGATCGATCTTATAATACAGAGCAACAAGTTAATGTCGAAAATAGAAGTTATGGCGTTCTCCAACCTCCCCACCAATACATGCCACAATCATATTTGCCTCAAGAGTCGCCTCGAACTCGTGTGATTCACGACATTTATACTATAACCATCACTACATTGATGCACCAATGGCATACGATGTATCAGTATACCAGATCGTAGGAGCAATTCTAAGATTAAATCCGACAAACATACCCTATTAACATACAAATCCATATGATCAAGGACCCCGATTCACCGCCTATGGAGTCCCGTCATTCTTTTAAGCGATAGGACCAAGTATATCTATCGATTGATCCATTTATTACTTGATTCATTTAAATTTTAAAGCTTAACTCATAATCTAACAATTCAAGTCATATCTTTGTAGGTAATTCAATATCAACAGAAGAATGGCTCCAAACATGCCACAACATTGCTCTTCAAAACTTGAAAAAGATGTGTCACTATTCCTTCCTAATTTAAAAATTTTTTTATGAAATTATACTAAACTTACATTTGTTCCAAATAAAAAAAAATCCTAATCTAAGTTTTTTTTTCTATTTTTCAAGTATTTTTTGAGGTTTTTTGGGCTTTTTATTGTGTCATCGGCATGCCCTACTGTATCGACACCATCGATACAAAGCAACACGTGTCGTGCCGCCGATTTAGATCGGTAAGTCGAATCCTGACTATAACTATAGCACCATTAAGATTTAAAACCTTGAAAGTTGTCCAAAACGTGAGAGAACCACTTGAATCATTACACCTCTAAATTATACATTGTAGTAATTAACGACATCATTATCAAAAGGTAATTTGTTGATAGCATTAAAATCATGACTAGATGAGGTGAAAATCAATCCAATCCTAATGAATCCCAAAACCAACAAAGTGAGATAAACACCCTTAGGACGAAACTAAAATATCCTGACATAATATAGAACCAATTATGCGATCAAATGATCGAAAGCCTAAGAGCTCTCCAACACCTTAACAAATGAGCCATGAATGAGGAAATTGATAAGTCGGTTAAGTAACATGACCATTCTCCATAATCTATAGCTTTAAATCAAGAAATTTTTCCTACTCCCTAAGTTCCAGTTTGAATAAATCTTAAGTCTAACTATGGGCACCTGTTTAAAATTATGCTCCAACAATTCCTGATAATCAAACTTTTGACCTTAACAATAAATTCTTAGAACCTACTAGAAATCCACAAACTTAAGTAATAGGCCAACGAGTTTGATTTGTTGACAATATAGGAGAAATAGCTAGAAGAGTCAAAGTGGATGTGCTCGACTTTGATAGTATGTTTGACCCAAATGTGTTTGTTGACTGGTTAAATAGCATGGAGGACTACTTTGAGTGGTATGGAATGATTATTATTAAATAGATACGGTTTGAAAAGCTGAAACTGGCAAGGTCCACTAGGAAGTATTGGCAACATGTCTAACATAATCTTAAACACCGTCGGAGGCCTTTAATCACTCAATAGGAAGTCATGAAACAAAAACTTAAGTAAAAATATTTGCCAACCTACTTTCAAAACTAACTAATTAAACAATTGTTAAATCTTAAAAAGTTAAATCCTAGTACAGCTAGGTATTTGGCCTAATTTGACGAACTTTTACTCAGATGTGAAATTGATGACTAAATCAACACTATCTGAAAATTTATTAATGGGAAGTCTCTTTTAGTTTTTCCGGCACCATGGAGGAAGCCTCCCGATAAGCCCTTGGGATTGAGAAGTACACCAAACTTTATCCAACTCATCGAGCATCTTTTCATTCTCTCGACAATAGAACTATTTCTCAATCTACCCCAAGAGTGGCTCTATCAAGCCAAACATCCCCACTACTAGCGACACCCCTAGCCCAACCATGAATCATCCAACTCATTCAATCATTGATTCTCAAACTAGTTCGTCTTTATTCCAATATCACTACTACCATAATAAAGGTCACATTGTCTCTCATTGTCCTCAATATACCCATACCTTAAAAGAACTAGATGATCCAATCGAGGAAGTAGACCAATTAGTTGAACCCAAAACTTACTTAGGTGATGAAAATAAAATAGAATTTAAAGATGCCCATGCCAATATTGTTCATATCTTTTTTTCTACTATTAGTGTTTTTTATGAATGGAAGAAGACAAATATCTTCTATATTATTCGAAGCTAAGAAAGAGCATAGTAGTTGGTTATAGATGGGAATAGCACTATGAATATAGTCACAAAATCTACTATTAAAAGACTAAATCTTAAGGTAAAATCACATTTGACACCATTCAAGGTAGCCTAGGTTGACAAAGCCACTTTACCCATGATTGAAAGGTGCTTGGTACCAATCAAAATGGGCAATTACCAAGATGAGATTTAGTGTAACTTCTACCAATAAACGTTGCCTACATTTCTTTAGGTCAACATTGGTTGTATGACCTCAATATTACCGCCTCCTCGTCTGAGGCGACGAGGCCTCGGCGACTTCTCATCCGCGCGGGGAGAGAAGAAGCCTCGACGACGTCGCGAGGAGAAGCGGCTTCTTCTCCCCACACAGGTAGAAGGACTGAGGCTTTTTTTTTTTTACTTTTTTTGCGCGGGGAGAAGAACGGTTTCTTCTCCCCACGCGGGCAAAAACCGAGCGACGTCACCAAGGCAACGTCACCTTTCTTTCTTTTTTTTTTCGTGTGGGGAGAAGGAAACAGTTTCTTCTCCCCACGCAGGCAAAAACCGAGTGACGTCGCTTTTCTTTTTTTTTTCACACGGGGAAACTAGGCAACGTCGCCTTTTTCTCTTTTATTTTTCGCACGGG